AATGAGTTTGGGTAGAATAGATTTACATGAAATTGTCATGGATGACATATAGATCAGTGATGGGATTCAGCCAGTTCGCACCTATTCGGTAGAACCGGTTGGTAACTTTCTAATTAGTTTGGAGAACCGGTTGTTGGAAGAAATCTCCTTTTGTTTTTCCCACTTTACAGGGCTAATCCTGTAAGGAAGGCAGGAAGGAAACATTCTGGTGTTGTTTCTAGCCTCATCTTTGTTGACCAGCTTACAGAAACTGTCTCTCCGATTAACCCTGATTACATTGTAAGAGCTAAGGCAAAGCACCCATCGACGGGAATGACATTGAGTTGGCCACACCCACCCAGTCACGTGACCACTGAGCCCCGCCTACCCAGCTGGCCATTAGGGCAGAGAAACCAGTTGTTAAATTGTTTGAATCCCTCCACTGATTAGGATGTTAGAAATTCGGCATGGTAGGTTGTGAAATCTGTCTTTATTGTACTAAAAATGAGTCAAAGTTCAATAGCATGGCTTCATTTTTGAAATGCCTTACTTCTTGAAGTGTAGAAAATCAATTGCAAGTAATACTAGCAATAAATAGTATCAGCAGAATAATGGATGATTGTTCTGTTCTAATAATAATGACTTAAAAAATCCTAGCTGAAAGCACTATCAGTTCACAGCTAAAAATACATTCTACATTTGATAGGGCAACAGCAGTATTAGGAAATAGAAATGAAATGACAATTATTTTAGGGGGGAAAAAAAGGATAAATTCTCTACATGTATGAGGCTAATGGCTAGTATGGAGGCTGGGGGTTACATACAAGGTAAACACCGCCAATCTAAATACCTCTGTTATTTTCATTCTAAGCTGGTGGTTCTCTGACTGCAGCGCTTCCAATCGAGATGTGCTGGCTTGGTTGACACTGGTGACAGATGTTGATGTTTTTGAATCATCTTTCTTCTGATTTTGGGTGAACTGAAGCCCCCTGTTCCGAGTGGCAGCATCTGGATTTGTTCTCAGAGTAATCAACTGAAAAATTTTAACAGCAATGAGAAATGAAATTCCTCCCAGGAAAATTATTGAGTCATTGGTTATCTTTGCCCCTCTTGTCCCTTAACAGACTGTAACAACAAAGGTTATAGAGCACATAGGTAATTCAAGTATCAAGTTTATAATTTGCAGCGGTAACCAGCTCATTTTCCACATGTACATGACTTAAAATTATTCAGCTACATATAATCCCAACTGGCAAAAAATTCTTATTGCACCACTGAGTTTCCATGCAAGTAACCTCAGCACTGCTATGATTCCTTTCCTCCTCAGTGCATCTACTCTATGCATCAGTGGTGGGATCCAAATGATTTAACAACCGGTTCTCTGCCCTAATGATTCCTTCCAACAACCAGTTCACCAAACTGCTCAGAAAGTTAACAACCGGTTCTCCACGAACGGGTGCGAACTGGCTGAATCCCACCACTGCTATGCATCTGATGAAGTGAGATGCAGCTCAGAAAAAAATGTATGTCTTTCAATAAAAATTTGTTTAGCTGAAAAAGGTGCCATTAGATTCTTAATTTTTACCATCACAGATTAATACAAGTCTCTCCTTCCTACGTCTAGGTAATTGTGAAATAACGTTCAAACCTAATACAGGCCATCTTGATTATGATTTCCAGCCTTTTTATATACACAACTCGAGACAGGAAACATCCTGTGATGGGCTAACCATAACATTCTATTGACTCTCACCAAGTTGAGCCAAGTCTTCCCTTTTGTATAATTCTTCCTCATTCCAAAGCAACTTCATGGTGGAGACAGCTACCTAATTGCTGTACAAAATCATGTGCAAATAAAGCCATTCATTACCAATCCGGTTACTTACCTTAGGTACAAAGACTAAGCAGAGGGTAATGGTGCTACAGAATATAATGACTAGCGCCACAATGCAGAACTGTACATTGGGCTGGTCTCGTGTGAGAAAGGAAACCGCGGCTCCAATGATGCACATGATGCCCACATTATAAACACTCATGCCGATGTATTTACTGTCATTCAGAGCAGGAATGCTCACATTCCGAGTCTCCCAAGCTAAAAAACAGCCAAATAGCTGAAACCAGAAAAAAAAAAAGGAAGGCATATTGTAATAAAATACATATTGTTCCTTTTTGAAAACAAAATTTCATCCATATATTGAAATAGGGAGGAAGAGATCCGCCCCCCTCCAAACAAACAAGTAAAATAGAAAGGATCACACACATTATACACATAGAATGCAGCTCTTTAAATGCCATATTAAATCTAGATCAGAAGGAAGCAATTTTACTGTTTCTATTCTTGTGCATTAGACCAGTGTTTCTCAACCTTGGCAATTTGAAGATGTCTAGACTTCAACTCCCAGAATTCCCCAGCCAGCGAATGCTGGCTGGGGAATTCTGGGAGTTGAAGTCCAGACATCTTCAAGTTGCCAAGGTTGAGAAACACTGCTCTATATTATCTATTCTATTCTTCTTCATCCCAATATCTATTCTATTCTTCCTCCTCTTTCTATCTCTTCCTCTTTTTCTTCCTCCTCCTCCTCCTCCTCCTCCTCCTCCT